ATGTTTTCCTTGTAAATTCTGTTGAAAAAGCAAAAAAATGAAATAGAGACAGTTCTGTTATAAGCACCTTCAAGATCAAAACTACATCTATTCCATCTTTGTCTCCTGTAACTTACAAAAGCTCTTTGATAACTAGATGGCTAAATTAAAGGTGTCCTCATACAGTCTGGATTGTACAATGTATTCTGTGTCCACATCCAGGTAGCATACTAGCATTTTTGTTATTGTGAAACATTTTTGTACTTTTATTACAATCTGCTAAGCTCAGAGTTGGACAATTTGTATATTTATTATGACAACCTTTTGACAAATGGTAGCAGAGTATCTTGTTCTAACAAAATTACTGTTATCGTGACAACCCGCAGGTAGAAGAAAACACCTCGTTGCAACAAAGTAAATCTATCTCTTTCCATTTCAAATTAGGAGAAATGAGGTCAGTAATAGTGATATCTTGCTGGTACAAGCGTATGTTATAGGACCAGTGCTTCACAGTTCTTTTGTGATCAAAACATCCTTACTTTTACTTTTTTATCTATGGTAGGACCACCCAGAGCAAGGGTCCCCAACTCCCAGGCCACAGACTGGTTCCTGTGAGGAACCTCATCACACAGGAGGAAGTGAGCAGAAAGCAAGCCAGGGAAGCTTCATCTGTATTTACAGCCACACCCCCTGGCTCATCTTACTGCCTGAGCTCTGCCTCCTGTCAGATCAGTGACAGCATTAGATACTCACTGGAGCATGAACCCTGTTGTGAACTGCCCCTGCAAGGGATCTAGGCTGTGTGCTTTTTATGAGAATCTAATGTCATATCATATGATCTGTCACTGTCTCCCTTTGTCCCAAGATGCGACCATCTAGCTGCAGGAAAACAAGCTCAGAGTTTCCATTAATTCTACATTATGGTAAGTTGTATAATTATCTCACTATATATTATAATGTATTAATACTATAAAGTAGTAAAATAAATGTAATGTGATTGAGTAATCCTGAAACCACCCCTACCTTTCCCCAGTCCATGGAAAAATTGTCTTCCACAAAACTGGTCCCTGGTGCCAAAAGTGTTGGCAACAACTGGCTTAAAGTAATTCACTATCAGAAGTCTTACCTGGATTGCTGTTTTCAGAAGAGTTTTTTGACATCTGTTTTTCTTTGTAGTCAGAAAGTAATTGGCAAATTCTGTGTATAAAAATGTAATAAAATTACTATTTTAATACTGAGATAAAAAAATACTTACCAAATGTAAAATGCTTAGTGTATTTCAAATATCAGAATATTATCCCATCTACCTATGTGTACATTCTAGAAGCTTCTCACAAAGCTTCTAATGAAAGAAAAAGTGTAGGGTGAAATACTCATAAATCGAGGGCAGTATGACCCGTAAGTTAACTTGCATTAGTCTGACATGGCGGAAAGTGTCCCAACTCTGCATAAGTCCTAGCTCCATAATGAACAGCTATTTGTTCTTGGACAAGTTGCTCCTCTTGGGCTCAATGTCTTCTTCTACAAAGTAAGGACTTTGCTGCCTTATTTCACTAGGTTATTATAAAGATTTAACAAGATATCATTTTTTAAATGCTTAGAGAAACAGTAAAGCAATGGAATAATCTTTTCCTAAACTTTACAACTGAAATCATCTTGGAATCCCAAATAAAATCCAATCTGTATTTTGTTCATAGGTTCTAATATGAAAATGTTGCTGTTTTCAGAAAATGTTATTAAGTCCTAATTTTGCTTATTAGTTGTCCTACTCTTTGTGACTTATAATTTAGGGTATCTCAACTATTTCATAATTTGTAACTAAATTTATTGATAAACATCTCATTAAACTAGGTGATGTGATTGTCCACTATTATGGAGTTTATCAATGAAACTAATGGCAGAAAAACCAATGGATGTAAGACCTGGCTTGGACCAATGATCCTTCTCTACGAACTGAAACTGTGAACCAGCAGATGTTTGCTAGGATGATGCTTTACACCCATGTTCATATCCAGCTGACATGGGAGACCAAAACCCTACTTTCATTTTTTTTTAGGTTCCATGAAGAAGTTGCAAGTTGACATTCTCTAAGTTTTGACATACACACTTAACGACATATTTTGCACATAACACCCGACACATTATTCAGTTCTGGTGTCATCTCATAGACCACCTTACATGACATTTTTGTAGTGCAAATCATAATTTCAATATTTTGATGGCACCCATTTTCCTTTATTCAAACAGTTTCCTTACAGCTAGTCAGCAAATAGTCAAATGACATTCTAGTGACTGTGCAAAAGATGGAATGCTTCAAAAATCTGTGCAGCCTCCTTATGCAGGGGCCATGCTAATTTTCTCTGTAGTGTTTCAATTTGAGAATATGTGCTGCCGAAGCAAGCACAAAGCCCTACTTTTACACGATTGGTGATGAGACATGGATAAGGTTTGGTCCTGTTAAGTCCACCTAACCTACTCGAGATTCTGAGAATTCTCTTCAATGGCTTCCTAGGAGGCAGAATTTGAAAATATTTTTAAATTTTGAGGTAGAGATGCAAGTAGCTTGGGCAACTGTCATTATTATGTAAAACAGATCACTCAGGGGCCAACCACAACTGGGAGTCTGCTGCTCGGGGGAAGGTTAATATGGGACTTTCTACTGCCTAAGGTACTATACAGGATATAAAGGTGTGGGAGGGTACAGACCTGGTAGCAAAGAAGAAAGAAACACTGATCTCTTTCTGCCACATTATTTCAACCTCTCTGACCATTTAGAACAAGCCCAATGAACATCTGCTAGATAAAAGACCAACACGGGCCTCAAAGAATCTCTTACCATGAAGGTATCAGCTAAGTCTAGGCTGACATGTGGGTTCCACATCAGGTTCTGAATATGGGGGTAAGGGTCAATTGGTTCACTTTGTGTGTGGATAAAGTCACACTGCCAGAGTAGGTTCTTTGGCAATAATGGCTGAGCATAAGCATAGGTATGTGAACTGAAACATGCTATAACTTCAAAGTCTCTGTATGGATCGCCATGAAGACCTGAGGGATCTGAATCAGTAGGGGCATCTTGGTGTCAAAGGTCAACCATTATCAGGCAGCAGGACCAGTTTCAGGGGCAATAATGCAGCAACAGAATCAACAGAAACAACAGAATGATTGGAATGTCCTTTGTTTCTCCTCCTTCTGATTTGATAAAGGGATTGCCTTCCTTGGATTTAGTGAACCCCGTTCGTTCTTGAAAAATTCAAGGAGTACGTAGAAGATAGTTCTCAGAAGACAGTAAAAGATTTTCTGCTAAACTGGACATTTCAAGACCCAAATAACTAATCAGAAAAATCAAAGATGTTACACTATTTTTTAATCTCATGCATAGGTTTTATTCTTGGATGAAATGAACAATGTTGGGATCTCTAAACATAAAGGTCTTACAAGTGCTGAGATAACGAATCCAGCATGCACTAGCACATGTTACCAGTCTAGCTTTTTGTTTGATTTCTAACTGCAGCAGGGGACTAACTCACTGCCACTCTAAAACCACCTGAGCCAAACTATGACATCTCACCTGATAAGATACAATTGTTGTAAATATTTTAAGCCTCAATTTAGTGTTAACTAGCATTTTAATGTAAACACTTACATGTCATGATGACTAGAAACAGCATAATCGGTGGCAGTTTTCCCAGACAGATCTTGAAAAAATACATCAATATCTTGCTCAAGTAGAAGGCTAACTATACTTGCTGATCCACAACATACAGCAAGTATGAGAGCAGTTCTAAAATGACAGAGAATTTCTCCCTTAAGAACTATAGTAAAATTTAAAGCTAATCTAGTATACATTACCAATTTAATATCTTGCCTCTTCATGCAGAATTAAACATAATTAAATATTTATATGTATTAAAAGACATAAGCATCTTGGGTGCCCAAGTGTTCATCTTTGTAAAATGCCACCAAGGTTAAAAGGAAGGGACAAAAAGAAAACCTCTTATCTCAGTGGGATATTGCATCGTAGAAGCTACTAATTTAAAGGCTTTTGATGGGCAAGAAACTATGCTACGGCCACTTATCTGAAGTGGACAAAAATTTAAGTGAAGATTTCTTCCCAGCTTCCCTAGACTGATATGGTGTAATAGAAAATCAGCTAGGGGATTACATAAGAGCTATCTGCATGCTGAAAGCAGTAATATTAATAACGGGGAGAATAGTGGTCATAGTTGTTTCAGTTAACAATGCCAATAAGCATGAGCTGGGCACTAAATTAAATGCTGTACATACACATCTTTCTTACTTATGCACAGCCAATTTTGAAGGACATATTCTCCTTTTCACATATGACAACACATTTGGTGGTAAATAACATTCCAAGGTCACACATCTAGCAAGTAAGAAAGCTAGGAATTAAACCCAGTCTTGTCTGAATCCAAGCCTTGCTCTTTTATCACCCAAATACAGCTTGCTTGCCTTCACTAAAGGAAAAGTATATCCACTTAAAACTAACTTACTCCCTCTCTCCATACCAATTAAAAATAAAAACATCAGAAGATCAAACACCACATGTTCTCACTCATAGGCGGGTGTTGAACGATGAGAGCACATGGACACAGGGAGGGGAGCACTACACACTGGGGTCAGTTGGGGGGAAATAGGGGAGGGACGGTGGGGGGTGGGGAGCTGGGGAGGGATAGCAGAATGCCAGATGTAGGTGATGGGGAGGAAGGCAGCAAATCACACTGCCACGTGTGTTCCTATGCAACAATTTTGCATGTTCTTCACATGTACCCCAAAACCTAAAATGCAATAAAATAAACAAATGGGAAAAAAAAATACACTGGAAATAAAACAAAAGCTGATGAACCCATAGTATCAATTGTCATGTAGGGATAAGCTAACATTAATATCCTTCAAAGAAAGCAAATTAAAGCAGAGTCATTCAAAACATAAAATGATTATCAACTCCTATTGATGTTGAATACAGCATACTTAGTGGAAAAGCATATATGACACAGAGGTTAAAAACTACTAGAAAGGGGTAAGAAGTTCAATATTGAGTCATAAAGTAAACTAAAAATTAAAGTTCACACTTCATGAGACTAATATGAAATCCATTTAGCTAACATAAAATCATATAACCAAAAAGGTCACATAATAACATCAGTCAATGTAATAAGATGAATCCTACTAAAACTGTTCTTTATGTTGCCCAGTTTAACTCTTTTTCTACTTAACTGATTTGTGTTAATCCTGATCACTATGTCACAATAAGTTAATCTTATGAATATTTACGACATGAGTGACTGCTATCACTCTAGAACAACAGACAGGTTAAAAGAAATAACTGTACCTTCCAAATTTATCAAGGGCATTTAAATTAGCTTTTTTCTTGATTAAAAATTTCACCATTTGCTGTTTTTGTCCATGTATGCCAAGCAGAAGTGGCGTGAGGCCACACTGTAAAACAATGCAAAGCAAAAATGATATCTGATTCAAAAATTACATTTTCTCAACTGAACTGAAAACTATATAAGATCCTATAAACTTACACTCATAGAAAGTAAACAAATTGTAGTCACTTCCCTCTTACTCTTCTGTGCTTTCCCACACATCGCTCCTTCCCTTGGAGACATTCCTCCTCTGCCTCACCACATTAACTCTGATCATCTCAGAAACTGACTTTAAACATTTATTGGTTCCAGGAATCTTTGCTTCTAAGCCAGCATTTGGCACAGTATTATTGGATGATAATAATTTTTTCCCATCTAAGCAAAGAGCTTCTTGAGGGCAGAAGCTGTATCTTTTATCTCTATATCCTCAAAACCTAAGACAAATTGTTGGGTATTAAGCAAGAATTTGAATGTAAAATATTTTTTAGTTTCACATGTTTCACCTAAAGATCAAGCTCCAATGTGCAATAAAAATTGCTATTAAGACTCATACTGCCCATTTCAAGAATGTTTCCAACATTTATTCATTTAAAATCTATTTGTATTTAATTTTTTCAGACTGTTAACTAAATAATCAGTTCATAGGACTACTGAAACTAAATTAACAGAATTCCTATATGTATTCTTAATAACTCCATGATTTTTAGTGTTTTAAAACTGCTATCCTGATTAGCCCAATGCTCTACAAACTTAAGAGACATACTGGATAGTCGATAATACAGCTTCAATTGACCAAAACGGTTTAGAATTTGCTAAATGTTTGAGAAAACTCTGCTCTTAATAACAACTTATTGCCCTAAGCACTTGAATAATAAGTGACACCTGAATGATAAGAGTAGAGACACAAAATCCTGAGAGGACCATCCTCTACTTATTGAAAGATACTCACTGCAAAAAGACCTTCTGAATGGCAGCGAATAACTGAAGGTAGGAAGTAAAAGCTATTATTCTGTAAGCTGATTGATACTGCCAATAATATTCATTTTAATGTCCCAATCACAGAGATAAAATTCAAACTAGGACAGGAATTGTGGCTCACACCTGTAATCCTAGCATTTTGAAAGCCTGAGGCAGGTGAATCGCTTGAGCCCAGGAGTTCAAGACTGGCCTGGGAAACATGGCAAAAACCCCATCTCTACTAAAAAAAAAAAATACAAAAACTGAGGTTGGAGGACCACCTGAGCTTGGGGAGGTCGAGGCTGTGGTGAGCTGTGATAGCACTACTGCACTCCAGCCTGGAAAACAGAGACCTCCTCTCAAAAAAGAAGTCGTCAAATTACTATTATTGGAAATTAAAGGTGTAAAGGAATGAGCACATATCCAACTCCAACTCCAACTCTTCTAGAGATAGCTCCGTTTCTGAGATGTAAGAATTTACACATTACACTTATCTATTCAGTGGTTCTTAAGCAGGTGTGTATCCAGATTTTGAGGAATTTCTTGCTGTTGTTAGAGACACGGTCTCATTACGTAGCCCAGGATAAACTCAAACTCCTGAGCTCAAGCAATTCTCCCACCTCAGCCTCCCTAGCAGCTGAGACTATAGCCGTGCACCACCATGCCTGGTTCAAGGAAACATTTTTAAACATACATGTCCAGGCTTTATCAGACTTACGTTAGGAAAATCTTCAGGGGAGAGCCTAGAGTGGTAGATTATTTAAAATTTTTCCTCAGGTTACTGGGATGCACAATTCTAGCTGAAAACTAGTACAATAGATAATTACTTCAGTGTCCTCAGCCACATGACCAACTCCCTTTATCATTTCAGGATTTGGCCAAAAAGAGAAAAGAGTAGGAGAGAGATTCATTTGCTGAAATCACCACGTAATTTTCCTGGGTAAGGGGAGAACAGGGTCTAGTAAACTCAAAATACAACTTGATCTTCGTACTTATAAGCTACTGATCTCCCACCTTTCCATCAAGACATTCTAGATTTGAAAGCAGAGTTGAGACTCTACTTGGCTATTTCTACCAGAATAGAATAGTATACAGTCAGTTAAGTACTTGTTATTCCCTCTTCTCAAGGGTTTCCCACTACATTACCACCTATTCATTGACAATCTGGTTCCTCAGCGGCCTCCTAAAATTGATCTCTGGGCAGTTTACAACTTGCTAACTCCCACTCCCAAACTGAAAACTGTCATTCTCTAAAACTGAAGAGAACTTTGCTTCACCATACGAAGAAACAAATGAATGAACAACAACAACAACACACACAAATGAATGAACAACAACAACACACACACCAACAACCTTTTTATTGTCTTTCCTTTCCATTACCTAATTGCCAAACTGGCCTTGATATTTCTGATTGCTCTCTTTTCTCCTTTCCATTCCTCTGTTATGAACAATCAGAACTATCTTAAGCCTTGCCAGTGAGCGATACATCACTTCATGCTATTACTTTTTTTTAGGAACTTGTCAAAGCAACAGGATTTCTATTCGCTGAAATATGTTTTGATTTTCTTGGAGTTTTAATGTAAAACCTATTTCCAGGGCAAATTGTATTATTTTACAATCATTAGGGAAAAAAACCAAAAACCTGGGAGGGAAAAATTGAAAAAAATAAGTATTACCTTTTACAAACTCAGTGTTTTTTAAAAAAACAATTTACCGTAAGTGCATTTTAAAAAAAACAAAAACTGGACCCTCTCTAATGCTTCTTTAAATTAACAATACTTAAAATAAAATCTTAGATAATTAAGTCACTTCAAAATATTTTCATTCAGATTATGCTTGAGCTTCCAAATACGGAAAACTGACCCTTACTCAGGACGTCAGTGTTAAAAACAATTGCATTTCAGTATTTTGAAAATCAAATTGGTAGATCTGTACCTTGTTTTTTGCTTCAATATCAGCACCGTATAAAAGCAGTGCTTTGGCCAGTAATTTGTCTTCATTGTAGACCGCGTAGTGTAGCGCGGTATTGCCATACACATCCGGAAGGTTTGGATCAGTGCCATGTTCTAGCAACATTAACACGCATTCATCTTCTTGGCACTGTACAGCCTGTCAGTATTAGACCAAAAACAAATTATAAATCCTAGGAATTCGAAATAAATATTCCACGGGTTTCACCAACTAGTTATATTTAGATAAGAAAACTCATCTTTATTCTACGTATTGAAGTCAAATACATCTCATGCCGATATAGTTGGCTACTGCATACCTTTATTAGAGCTGTCCTCTTTTTGCTGTCAAAGGCATGAAGTGCACATCTTCTGCCCAGCAGGAGTTTTACTATTTCTGAATTCCCATTGGCAGACGCCAAATGGAGAGCAGTTCTATGAGAGCGAGAAGACTTTTTAGGAAATTGTAGTGCATTATCTACAGCCACCTCAACCATTCATGTCATTGCAAACACTAAATAGGCTATTACTCTGCCTTCAAAACAAACACCGAATTTTCCTTTGAAGAAAGTACGGTATTACTTTCTTCATTATCCCTCATTACTCACTGAATGAATAAAAGAGCAGCCTATCTGAACAGAAAGAGCATAGCCCTTGGATTGCATTCAACTTGGGCTGGAATCCTACTTCAAGCGCTGCCACTTCTTAGATGTTGCTGAGCTGTTTTTTCTCTCAATTTCCTCATCAATAAAATGGGAATGAAAATAGTAGCTTTCTCACAGGAAACCACTGTGATACTTAAATGAGACTCTACACAAAAGATTGAGAATAGTTCGTAACACAAAAAACAGCTCAATAATTGTTAGATATAATTTTTACTACAACTACTAGAGACAACATTTAAATTAAGTGAGATTATACCATCATACCTACACGTTGTTGGGGTATGTTTAAGAGATTACAGGTAACATTCTATTTTAGTGATTCTAAGATGATCATTGTTTCCATGTTTAAACATTTCTTACACTGGAATACCACTTATAATTCATGATTTACTATAATTGGGACATAAAGTAATGGGGCATCTTGCAATACCTGGTGCCTTACATTAGGTAGACTGTGCTATAGTATAACAAGCCTGGTGCAGTTCTAGTCTGATGACTGGCATTTAGACAAATTTTAGTTCTTACAGAACTATGAAATAAGAGGGCTAAGGTAAAAACAAAAACAAATTTCTAAAACTAATTCTTACTTTGGTTTTCAAAAAACTTTAAGCCAAAGAAAACTGGGGATTTAAATGAATAGGTAAGGTTCATTTTTTTTGATACTGAGATTTATAGAATGTATGTAAATCACCGGGCATGTGTAATCCCAGCTACTTGAGAGGTTGAAGCAGGGAATTTCTCAAACCTGGGATACAGAGGTTACATTGAGCCAAGATCACACCACTGCACTCCAGCTTGAGCCACAGAGCAAGACTCCATCTAAATATACATATGTATACACACAAACACACACATATATATGTGTGTATATATATATATACATAGATATTTATACATGTATTTATATATATATATGGGCATTTGTGTTTTTTTCTGGTACTTTTCACCTTTTGGGTATTTAAAATTTTTAATCTATACTCCAGGAACTTATTCTTGTGACAAAAATCTAGCTAGGTTTCTCCAAACAGCACGCATTTCATTTATGAATTCTTTTTTTACTAATATAAAACATCACCATTATCAAGGGCTAAATTCTTACATATATTTGGGTGTTTCTGGATTTCCTATTCTGTTCTATTCATTTATGTCTTTTCAACTGTTAATAAACAATTTGTGGAAATAGCACACTCAAATTTTGATATCTGGAAAAGCAAATCTTTTCCTATTCTGCTATAAAAATTAATTTATCACAATAAAAGACAGCATATGTAACTTCAAAACGCTAAAACTTTGCTATTTTCAAAGCGAAGAGTGATAGTTAAAAGTGATAAACACAGGAAGAGCTCGTATCTTAAGAGAAATGGGTCTTCCTACTCAAAGACACAAACCATCTTCCCATTTATTTTCCTTCTAAGGTTTCTCAGTAAATAACATATTTACATAGGATACACTGAAAAGAAATGCATTTTGAATATTACTTGAAGAATATTTAGCCAGAAGTTGATATACTATGAGACTTAGTTCTGAATATACACCTTTCTATAATGTATATAACATTGTTTTCAAATGTGTACATTAAAAATAATCTGCTACAATGATATAATTTTGCCAGTTAAATCACTTTAAGACAGTCTATTACTGTTCTATGAAGGCAATTATAATTTGATTGGAAGTCAGTTAAAGGTTTTGTTTCTGTGTTGCTTCTCATAAAGAGGCCTGTGCCCTGACCCCTCTGAGGTTTCCACACCCAAGGTGGTGTGGGGCCTGCAGAGGCGATAAAGCCAGGCACCCCACCACCGCCCCCACACCAGTAGGGCACTACCCCACCATCCCTACACATCCCACCTCCTCTCAACGAGGCCCAGTTACCTCTTTTTCTTGTCCCTCTTGTTCACATCAGTGCTCCTGAGCATAACGATGAGATCGGCTCTGGAGACTTTACCCCACCAGGCGGCTCTGTGGAGCTTGCCCAGGTCTTCTCGATGGACCTGGTACCTTGGCTCCTTGAAGGCACTGTCGTCGTAGTCTTCCCAAGTGCCCACGTTGCTCTTGCCGCTCCCCCTGCAGCAGGGGAAGCAGGGGAAGCACCATTTGCCCATCTTGCTCCTGAGACCAAAGGGCTTCTTCATAGCAGAGGCAGCCGGCTTTGAACAAACCTCAACCACCATCTGCTTTTAACAGCCGGGGAGGCCAGTAGCAGCGAGCAGACCGCCTCTACCAACAAGCTTTACCAACTAGCAGGAAACTCCAGGTTTCCAATCTGTTTGAAGAAAAACGTCAATCCCAGCCAAAGCCTTCCAACCCCAGCAGGGGAGCCCAGCCCAGCCCACCCAGGGAGAGCCCACGCCCACACCCACCCAGGGAAAGCCCACGCCCACGCCCACCCAAGGAAACACCCAACCCAGCCAGGGGAATGGCAAGCTTAGCAGAGAAAAGGTCAAGCCCAGCAAAGAAATGTGAGGGAAGAAATGCCAATCCAAGCAAGGTACACGAAGCCAAGCAAAGAATGCCAAGCTAATCCAGGACCAAAAAGCCACGCCACGCCGTTACAGGCAAGACAAGCCGGTGCGTGCGCATGCGCCGTTACAGGCAAGCCAAGCTGTTGTGCGCGTGCGGCGTGCGCGTGCGGCGTGCGCGTGCGGCGTGCGCGTGCGGCGTGCGCGTGCGGCGTGC